TGTCAAGTGCAAGTCGGAAATTCTCCCCTTACCCAGCCCAAGTCCAGGCCTTAGGGATGCTCTGTTGCCATGGTATCTCCAGAAGTGCAGAAGTGACACATGCTCAACCCAGACAGGCCAGGGCACTGACAGAGGCGCCTGGGGGCAGCATGTGAGCTGCTGTTGGAAGAATGGGCAAGAGTTGTCTGGGAAGAGGCAAAACGGGTAGGCGGGCAGGCAGGAGGACAGCATGTATGGGAGGCAGTGGCTTGAGGCAGGATGTTTTGGGGAGAGGTGCCGTGGGTCAGGGCCTCCCAGGAGAGATGCCACTGCAGAGGTGAGGCCCACACAGCAGGGTCAGAGCAACAGGGCCCATCTTGCCCCCCCTCGTGCCTCCATGAAGACCTGCCCTGCCCATTTGCCCCGTGAGGCGCGCCTGCTACAGAAGTGGATTCTGTGGTCAGGAAGGCCAGAAAACAGCTGTTGTGGGTGTCAAGAGCCACAGGCAGGCGGCACTTCCTCTCCCGGGCCTGTGGCTTGGCAAGATACTCTGGCCACAAAAGTTGGGATCCCTTGGGAGGGATGTCAGTGACAAAAGGCCTTAGACGTCTCATCCACCTTGTTTTTTTTTTGAAACAAGAGTTTCACTTTGTCACCCTCGGTAGAGTGCCATGGCACATAGCTCACAGCAACCTCAAACTCTTGGGCTCAAGCGATCCTCTTGCCTCAGCCTCCCATGTAGGTGGGATTACAGGCATCTGCCACAGTGCCCAGCTACTTTTAGAGATGAGGCCTCCCTCCTGCTCAGGCTGCTCTTGAACTCCTAAATTTAAGTGATCCACCCACCTCAGCCTCCCAGAGTGCTAGGATTACAGACGTGAGCCACTGCACCCGGCCTTGTCCACCTTTCTTGATTTATAGATAAGGAAACTGAGACCTGGAGAGGGGTGGCCTTCACCTGATACCAGGCCTAGAGCCCAGGGCACTGACGCTGAGCCCACTGTGCCCTTGCTCTGGGGGCTCTGGCTGGGCCGAGGGAGGCTACAGAGGGTACACACCCCAGGCTTTCTTGCCTGTGTGGCCTAACTCCTGTCTTTCACCCTTACCACCAACCCAGTAGCTGGTTTGACTGACTTCAGTACCTATCTGTTGAGGAGTGGCAGCCACAACTGAGGACTGCTCCTTTATCCCTCAGACACTGTAACCCTGAATCCCAGCTTGGACTGCTCCAGTCCACCAGGTGATGGCAGTCCTCCTGGCCAGACATCAGGTAACCAAGTGCACCGTCCGTTGCCCTCCCTGCTTCTGGGCCATAGCTTTGGCATCTCTCGTGCAGGGACAGGTGTCCATCTGTTCCAAGAATGTATCAGGGATCCTGAAACCACCAAGGCGTGGCCAGTGGGGGCTGCGAGGAGCCCAGTGACCTTGGCTACACAGAGGATGGTGGAAATTCAAGATATAGGCAGGAGACAGACTGGAGAGGGTTAGGATCCAATCGATTAGGAAGGACATAGCAAGGGATGAGGTATAGGGGGGCCATTCATGAGGTGAAGGCACAGTTGGGGGACTTGCCCAAACTGCACTCCCTCAGAAGAGGCCTGGGCTGGGGCTGAGGCACACTTAATCCCAGGGCTCTCTCCACATCCTGCCTGGGGCCCCCCTTCTGTAGCTTAGCCTACACCTGACCCCCTCACTGCACCCACCCCAGGCACGGCCATCGGCCCACAGCCCTATCCAGGGGTGGGAGCCAGGGAGTCGTCACAGGTGTTCAACTCCCCTAGATTCTGTGGTTGTACCCTCAAGGCCCTGGCCACCCAGCAGAGGCCTCTCCTATCTGTCAAATGGGAGTTGGCTGTGTGGCCTGTATAGGTCCCAGGCTGGTGAAGCCAGGTGCTGCCCATCAGCCCCAGACAACAGGACTTGTGGTGCGGGACACTCATGTGCCTGCCCACTAGCTCTCCCCTTGGCCCACCACTCACATGGACACAGCTGATTTCTGCCTCTCAGAGCTAGGACTCAGGTTGTCTACCCTGTGCCCCGGGTGGTCCTCTGATACACAGCAGTGCAGAGGTGGTTTCAAGGGCAGGGTGGTCCTCTGACACACAGCAGTACAGAGGTAGTCTCTGGTCTCAAGGGCAGCCTCTCCCTCATCTTTTCCATGGCTTTTCCCTGCCAGGACCTCTGAGGGGCATGTGCAGGCCGGGGCCATGGGAGGCACTGGTGCTTTCCTTGTGAGGCCAGCTCCCGGGGTGTTTAAGCTGGATAGAACCATAGGATGAGCCAGGCAGATGGGGAACCAAGGGCCCAGGAGGGCAGTGGCTTGTTTTGGGTGCCCTGATCCCTCAGTCATTCCTGGGCTGAGCCACCTGGCCTGGTAGTGTTGGTGAGAGCTTCCTGAGACCTGCCTCAGGCCAGGCCCTGTGCATCCCTGGACAGGGACTCTGCATCAGATGAGTTCACTGTGTCACAAGTGGCCTGGGCCAGCCAGGCAGATTGGGCCACTCAGTGCCTCTCTGCCTCAGTTTCCTCATCTGTAACATGGGAAAGGCACCATTGCCTCACAGTGTGCCTGGGAGGACTGAATAAGGTGGTGGTTGCCATAGCTCACAGGCCTGGGTTCTAGCCTCGGTCACTGGCTCTGATCTCCGCTTCCCATCTACAAGATGGGAAGGGCCTCTAAGAAAGCTCTGTGGCTGTGTGGACGGGCCAAGCTGGCGGGGGTAGGGGGCAGTTCCTGGGTAGTGCCCTGCACACCCATCCCCAGCTGTCCTCTGACCACCAAGCCTGGAGCGTGGGGAGAGCAGCACTCAGTCATGGGATCTATTGAAGGGGGGTCCTGCCTTAGGGCAGGCCCAAACAGGTCCCACCCACCAGCAGATGGTCCCTGGATCAGGTGCCCAGCCTGGCCAAGGGCAGTGTGGGAAGGCGTGTCTGGGCGCAGTGCGTGTGGTGCAGTCCTGCTGGGGCAGGTTCCTGTCTGCTGCAGTCCAGAACCCTCCAAGGAGCATGCGGGCTGCACCCAGATTAGGCCCCTTTCCAGGGCGGCATGTGAGGCTGTTTTCCTGCCTAGGAGTGGCTTGTCTGAGGGGATCCTGGGGCTGGAGCAGTTTTGGGCTGTGGGACCCCAGGCAAGGAGGTGCCTGCTTCTGCCCCTAAGCCTAGGATCTTATTACCCTGGATTAGGGTGAAATTCATGATGAGCCCACCCAACCCACACCATGTCTCCTCTGCCCTGTCACCCATGCCCTTCCTGAGCAGTCTTTGGCCTTGCTTGGATCTCTTCTGGGCCAGAGAGCTCACTCCCTTTCAAGACCCCTGCCTGACCTTGGGTGGGGTAGGAAGGGGCACTGTCTTCAACTGGTGCTGATACTACCTCCCCTTGGCTTGTGCTGCATTGACTATGTCCACTCCACTGCCCCACATAGCCCTTTGGAGACACAAGAGTTGAAGTGAACCCTAGGCACCTGGGCCACCGTGACTTGTCCCATACTGCCTCTCTGGGTGGACCAGTGTCTGTCAACCCCTGTAAGAGTAAATGTCCAAGGGAAGGGGCTGCACCCATGGCCTGACCTGGGAATGGATCCAGGGCCTGTCCTTACTTGCTTTCTGGCCTCCAGCCAGCCTTATAACTTCACTGACCCTCAGTTTACCCAGTTACACACTGGGCTCTCACCACCGTGGTGTGCTTGCAAGAGGTCAGAGGAGCCGGGCTGAGAAGACCACCTGCAGATTTCAATGTGTGAGGCTTACTGTGGCAAAAAACAGCAAACCGGTGTCACTGATCCCTCCTTTAGGGTAAGACCCTTCACAAGTGCTGCTGTATTCAGGCGAGCATGGTTCTCTTGGGAGATGGAGCCTGTTGTGCTGATGACTAAACTGGGCCCAGAGGATAGGTGTTTTGCTCAGGGTCACACAGTCTGAAGCAGGGTAGGCAGGGAGCCCTCCCCTGCACCGGGGTTTGGGCTTTGGTGCCAGATAAGCAGTGGTGTCAGCAGGGGCCTGAGGCCTAGGAGGAACCCTGGCAGGCCTGCAGGGGCCAGCCCAGTGAGCTCACAATGCAGTGTGCCAACATGTCCCCAGCAGGCTCCAGGCTGTCTCCCGTCACCCTGTGTCTGTGGATTCCTCTTGGTGGGGGTAGCAGCTGAGCTGTGCTCCTTGGCTGGCCTGGGAAGGTCCTGGACTGACTTCTCCTGGCTTGCTGTGTGGCTTAGGCCACATCCCTGGCTGTTCAGATACTTCTTAGACCCAGGACAAGGCAGGGGTGGTGGCGTCTGAGGGCGAGGGGTGGGGCAGCCCAGAGAGCTGGACTTGTGTCTACATCAGCGTCAGGCAGCTGTGACCAGGCACAGTGACTCCTCCTTTGCTGCCCAGTAGATAGGGAGGGAACAGGGTGAGAGAGATAAGGCATGGGGATAACCAGGCCTCCACCACCCTGTGCCTTCACCTTGTGCCTTCACTTCCCAAGTAAAGTCCGCACCCTGACGGCTAGGCTGGTGAGGTGTACCCTGACCTCTGGGGCCCCACCCTGGGCCACATACAGTAGGAAGCCACCTATTGCAGGTGTAGATGTGGTCAGGTGACAGTAAGAGCACACATGTGGGTTTGTGCTCTGTCCAGACCAACAGAAGTGTTTGCAGCAAGGAGACCAGCAAAGGTCTACCCCAGCCCAGAGGTGCAGGGGAGGCCCGGGCAAGTGGCCATGCTGGCTGATGCCCTCTGCCCTGGCTGTGGACATATGTGGTTCCTTTCAGCATCTCCAGGTGTCCTGGGAAGGCAGTGTGTAGCTGGCCCCGGCTTAGGAAGGCACCGACACAGGGACTCCAGGCTGGGCCAGAGTTGGGGAACAGCTAAACTTCAGGGCCAGAAGGCCCCCTAGCCCCTCACTTCTAGCTGCTGGGCATGGGGCTAGGTTGGGTACGCGCCAGAGGGTGATGGTATGGGAGGGCTGTGTATCCTGTTGGGATACTGTGTCCCCATGGCTGTGCTGTCTGATAGGTCCCAGTCTCTCTTCCTCCTTGTAGGTGATAGCTGTGGTCATGGACATGTTCACTGATGTGGACATCTTCAAGGACCTGTTGGACGCTGGCTTTAAGAGGAAGGTGGCTGTGTACATCATCGTGGACCAGAATAATATCAAGCACTTCTTGCACATGTGTGGGCGGGCCCGCATGCACCTGGGGCATCTCAAGGTGAGTGGGCTTCCTGCTTGTGTTGGCTGGAGGGCAAGGGTCATTCAGTCAGTTAACAAACATGTGGGAGCCCTGTGCCAGACACACAGAGTTCAATAATCCTGGAGTTGCTGGCTTGAATGCCCTGAAGGACAGGAGACTCACTAACTCTAATGGGCAGAGATAAGGTAAACATTGATGCAGTGCCTGCCGACCAGGTGCTCACTCCAGGTGCTGCATCACACGGTGCTGGCTTCCTGTGCTCACACACCTCTGCTGACAAGGTGCTTTGTACCTCCTCAGGCAGCGCCAACTCCTGGGAAGTCCTTTCTTGGATTAAGCCAAAATCTGTCTCCTTTGAATGTCCACCTGCTGATTTTAGCATCTAGTTCAGACGCTGAGGTCAGGGAATGCTTCCTTGATGACTGCAGAGTTGAGATGGATGTGAAGTGCAAGAGCAGAGTGTAAAGGACCTTCGGGGTAGGAGACACCAGGGAGCAGAAGTGGGGAGGAGAAGGCTGCCGGTGGGGTTGGGGTACCCTGGGTTTCTCAACACTGCTTTGCTGTGTATCCTGTGCATGTCACATCCACTCTATCCAGAATTGCACTGGGCCAGTAGAGGAGCAGATAAGCCAGTGTGGCCATGCCCAAGTACCTAGATACCGGGGCATGTGGCACCTTGTGTAGGGGCAGGGAGCCCTCCTTCCACCAGCTACCACTTGGCACCTGCCATGCAGAGCATCTCCTAAGTACAGCTCCGCTTGCATGGTGAACTAGTAGTTGTACAGGGTTAAGATGTGCAGCCAGGCCTGGGCACTCCACAGCCTTCACTCCCTTCACCTGTGTAACACTCCAGTGGGACAGGGCAGGGTCACCATTTTGCATGTGAAGAAGTGGAGCCACATACCCAGGTGTCACTGCTAAGGGGGATGGGGTCACGCCTAATGTCTGACATGTCAGAATTCTTTGAGCTTCAGGCTCCCAACAAAGATCCCAGGACAAGGGGCAACACCAGTCTGGTTAAGGAAGGGCTGGGCACTGTGCTGTTGTCGTCATTTTTCACACATCCACCCGCCTGAGTTCTTTCCAGTGGGTGGGAGCAGTCCAAGGCCAGTCTCTAGCTCTTGGGACATTTTTATATGGTCTCCCTGGTCGGCTGACCCAAAGCCCAATGCCTGCCCACCTCACTACCTGACCTGTAATTAGCACTGGGGATCCACTCTGGTGGCTGATAGCTCATGCCCAAGAGATCCACTATGTGACTACTTTTGAAATGTAACCACAGGGACAGCACCTGTGGTTCAGTGGGCAGGGTGCCGGCCCCATATACTGAAGGTAGCGGGTTCAAACCTGGCCCCGACCAAACTGAACAAAAAAAAATAGCCAGGTGTTATGGCAGGTACCTGTATACTTGGGAGGCTGAGGCAAGGGAATCACCTAAGCCCAGGAGTTGAAGGTTGCTGTGAGCTGTGTGATGCCATGGCACTCTACTGTGGGCAATAAAGTGAAACTCTGTCTCTACAAAAAAAAACAAAGTGACCACAGAAGCCCTGGGCCTATGGCAGCAGATCAGGAGCCCTCAGGGCTGTCTGTCCAGTCCCCTCCCTGCCTGGGGTCCGCCACCACCATGCACCTGCCACACGTCCTCAGTGTGAAGACTTAGAGGCAGAGTGGGCCTGTTGAGGCTGAGTGGGGACCCTAGGCTGGCACTGGCTGTTCCTGAGGCCTTACTGCTTGCCCAGTGTTCTGAGGCTCCTCAAAAGACAGGCCCTGGCTTCTCTCTGCTTGGAGTTTTCTGAGCTCCCAGGAAGTGGGAGGTGGGTTGGACAGGGTGGGGGTGGCTACAGGCTCCTTCCCCATGGCTTGGTGGCAGCCTGAGGCCATCCGGATTAAGGCTCCCCCAAGACAGATGGAGAAACTGAGGTTGGAGGGAGGCCATGACTTGCCTAAAGCCATCCCTACCAAGTTAGGGACTGAACCTAAAAGCCAGTAGTGAGAATTCAGCTCTGATGAGGAGGGTGCAGACCCCTGGTGTGGACATCCTGGGCTGAGGCCACCCCTACCAGTGCAGAATGCCCCAATATTGCCCACCAGCATCCTGCCTGCCGACCCACTGTGGGACTTGGCCATGGGGTTCCCCTCTCTAGGCCTCCAGTGCCATGTGGCCATGTGGAGGCCTCGTGGTTATGTTTGAGAATGAAATGAAAGGAGATGATGGCTGAAAAGTGCTCTACACCCCAGACCCTGGGTTGTGGCAGGAGGTTGGAGTGAGGCCTTCCCCACTCCACCCCAGCCCTTTGTCTGACCCATGACAACTTGAGCAGAGAAAGGGCAACTCTCACTGCTGGTCCCTGGCCCAGCCTGCCTTACCTGGCTGCCTCCCTCTCTGGGGAAGGTGGCTGGGTCTGCAGGGAGACATACCCAGGAGCCAGACTTTCATGGGAAAGTGTGACCTGGCACCTCATTTTCACTGCTGAGACTGTCCCCTCTGCAGCCCTGGTAGCCCTGGGCAGGTAGCCAAAGGCTCCTGTGGGCCCAGCCCTGGCGAAGTGTCACCTTGTTGAGGGCCTGCCTGCCTGACCTACCTCCCTGCCCGTGGGGTGGCTGAGCCCAGACCTGTCTTGGGAGCACTTCCTCTGCCATTAATTCCTGGGCCCGCCCTTGGCCACCTGCCCCCCGGCTCAGCTCTGCGCCAACCTGCCCTAGATCCTTTGAGTCCAGGTGCAGATTGTGCCTGGCAGGGTCATCCTTGTGATCACAGAGGTGTCGGGTGCCAGTCCATAGGCAATACCATGAGCCAAGCCCTTGCCCAGCTCTGCCACCTGAATGGTGGGCTAGGGCAGAGTTGCTGAATCTTTCTGGGCCTCTGTTGTCTTGTCTGGAAAATGGGAATATCCTTATTTACTTGTCTGGGCTGCTGTGACTAAAGACCACATGTAGGAGGGCTCCCTTCCCATCCTGACTTTGGTTGGGTCAGGGCATGGCCCCCCTAAAACCCAGCCAAGTGGCTTCCTTTTCCCTCTGCACTGATGCCTGCTAGGGCCCACCTTCACTCGGCGCCTACCCCCAGGCTTTGTGACCACACCAGCACATCTGGGAAACGGCAGCTGTGTTGCCTAGGCTGAGCACTCCTGGTCCCCAGGTGAGATAGGAGCAGCGTGCATCAGCATCCCCCTAGGTGCAAAACTCCCAGCCGTCCCCAGCACCTACAGGCTCTGTTGGCCCCAGATGGTCCTTCAGGCAGGAGTGTGGGAATGATCACCCCAAATTAAAGATGGGGAGAAGATCTTGGGAAGAGACCCTAGCCTTTCGTTCTGCTCCCCAGGGCCACAGGGCCAGGCTGCATAACTTGCTGCATTTGGGTGGGTAATGCCCCTGAGCCAGCAGGAGCTAGGCCAGGCCTCAGGGCTCACAGCTTCAGACCAAACAGGAACTGTGAGGTACCTGTGATCTGAAAAGCTAGTCAGCTTTGTGTAACCAAATAGGAAAACCCAGCAGCCCCTGGGACAAGCCGGGCCTATTTTTGATGAACAAAGAAACATTAGCTGGGATGGCTGCAGGAAGGCACTTGGTGAGGATGTGAGGACCAGTGGCAGCTTGGCTCTCATGCCAGACCGACTGACCCAGCCCTTGGGGTCAGGGCTTCCTGACCCAGGGCTTCCTCCCCTTCCTGGGGACACCTGGGTTCTGCTCTCTGGTCTGGGCTCAGGGTATAGGGAGGATTCACAGCCAGGCGGTTCACCTGCCAGGGACATTTGGCAATGTCTAGTGACATTTTTAATTGTCATGGCTTGGGAGATTACTCTCACCATCTAGTGGGTAGAAGCCAAGAATGTTGTTAAAAATCCTTCAATGCATGGGACGGGTCCCACAGCAAAGAATGACCTCACCCACATTCTCAGTCATGCCATGGCTGAGCAACCCTGTCCCTGGGGAAGAGCCAGGAGCCCCTCAGACAGGAAGGGACCTGGAGCCAGGCTGACTCAGTCCTGCCCCGTCCCTACCACCAGGCCCCCATCACATACCTTGGGCCAAAGGCAGTTCTCAAATGCCTCCCTACACTGGCTTCACAACAGCCAGGGAAGGCAGAGAGTGTCCCTCCCCATACTTCACAGAATGAGAGCCCTTTAGAAGAGAGCAGAGGCTGGTTACGGCTCAGAGTGTCAGGGAACTGGGCTCCTGCCTCCTATGTCCAGTTCTGTCCCCTATGTTCCTCACTCCTGGCCTGGCCTGACCTCACTGTTCAGCTCAGGCCTGATCGCGGTGCCTCCTGCTGCTCCTCCAGCCTAGGAGATGCCTGCAGGTCTGGGGGGAGGGTAGGCAGTGAAGGAGCCACCAAGGTGCAGCTGGAGCCCTTGGGTCTGGGCTGGGCTGGCTGACTGGGGAAACGTGGGCAAGTCACTTCCTCTCCAGGTCCTCCTGACCTCCTTTAGGGGCTGCATCACTCCAGACATTTTCTGGTTCTCCACAGTCTGCTGTGCCACCTGAGCTCATGGGATGCCACTGAGGACCAGGTTTCTGTCCTGAGTGGGCCCTTCCTACACGTGGCTTGAGTAGTCCTCAGAACAGCCCTATAGCCCAAGGTGGATAGGCCCATTTCACAGATGAGAAAACTGAGGTACGGAAAAGTCTAATTGGCATCCATTTGGCAGCAGGACTGGAGCCATGTTGAAGCTCAAGAATACCTAGACCCACCCTGCTCCAGGGGGTGCTGGGCTCAGTCCTCTCTGCCCCCCACTGACCCAGCCTAGGTGCAGTGGGCTTAGTACAGAATTGAATCATGTGTCCTTGAGCACAGGAGGCCTGGGGTTTGGGGCCCAGTGCCACAATTTGCCCTTGTCCTGATGCCCAGGCCCCGCCCACACACGTGGGGTAGAAGCACCCCCGAGAACAGATGAGGCACCATCCAGGGCGCTCCCTGCTCTGGCCTGCCTTGATATCCTTCTTTTACATATGAGGAAACTGGGGGCCTAGAGGGTCCAAGGACTTGCCCAGGGCACTCCACTTGGGCCAGCATGGGTATCCCTCCACCCCATCTGCCTGTCCTCTACTGGGGGAGCACCAGAAGGTCAGAGACAATTTGACTTTTTGGGCTCCTCTTCCTCTGCTCTCGAGAACCTGAGCTCCTGAGACATTACCTCACCTGGGCCTGGCCCCACCCAGGAACAAGCCGGAGAGCAGGCCATGATACGGAGGGCGGGGGCCCTGCCACAAGCACCCACCTGCTCCCAAGCCCCAGGGTGGGATGGGTCTAAGAGTTCCCCAGTGTGCAGTCAGGGAGACTAAGGCCCAGAATGGTCCAGAGACCAACTTAGGGTCACGCAGAGGGCCTGTGGAGGCCAAAGAGCTTAGCTATGGGCAGGCTCAGGTGACAGGGCGGGCTCATGCTCCTTCCAAGAGCTCTGTCCGTCTCATCCTAAGCATGCTGTGTGTTGGGCACAGTCATAGCACTGACTGTCCTGGGCCCTGGCCAGCTTCCTGCTGTGCCAGCAGGGTGCAGACAAGCAGCCCACAGAGAGCAGAGGCCCACCTGCCTCCTGGACTGGCACCCACGACAAGGCAGCTGTTCATTCCATGGTGGGTGCGTGTAAGTAGTCACCTAGGGACACACCTGCTGGCCTCTTTGGGGGCTCTCCTGGGCATTCCAGCCATAGAGGTCTAAGACAGAAAGGATGGCCAGGCAGGGTCTGGTGGGTGGTGGGAGGTCCCTTCACCCATAGCAGCCTCTTCCTGTTCTCTGCCTCCTACCTCCCCTTATCTCATACACTGAGAGAACCATTCTTGAGACACAGATCTAGCCCCCTCATGCTGCTCTTAGCCCTCCCTCAGCTCTGTACTGTGTCCTACTGTCTCTGGAGCCACGCCCAGGCCATCTAGCAGGTGCGGGTCCTCAGTAGCCACCACCCAGCTCGTTCTGCAGGCTCCATCGCCCACCCTAGGTACTTTTGTGTGCCAGGCCTTTGTGTCCCTTGCCTGGAACGTTCACACTCCTCCCACACTGACCCACGCTATCCTTTCCCGGGAGCCTCCCGGCCAGCCCCTGTACCTGGGGCGGTTTCTCTGTGGTTGGGGCATTCCCAGTTGTTTTTGTTTACTCATCTGCTTCCCTCTTGCCTCCAAGGTGGGATCCTGGTCACAGTCGTGTCTATGTGACAGTTGGGGACTTGGGCAGGGGTTGATGAACAAGTGGGCAGTTGAAAACTGGGCCCAGTGAGTGGGCGAGGGGAACTCGAGATAAGTCACAGCTCAGTCTGACAAAGAACACGTCACAGCTGAGAACCCAAAGCTGGCACAGAACGAGTGAGACTCCATCACAGTAGGCATGCACACAGCCCGTGAAAATGCTATTGAGGGGGTTCCTGCCCCCGGCAGGTGTCGGAATCCCTGGGGCTTGTGGGTTAAAGTTAGGGTTAGGGTTTTAACTGAAAATCTCTGCTTGACCACAGGCCTTCTGAGTCAGACCCTGAGGGACCCAGGAGCCTGCGTTTCTAACACAGTGCTGACAACACTGGGGGCCAAATGAGCCCCAGGTCTCCTTCCCACTGGAGGTTCTTTTAATACTTCAGGGTGCCCTCTGCTTTCCCTCAGCAGCTAGATCTCAGCCAGGCTTGCCTGCCCTTCCTGGAGTCTGCCAGCCTCCACTCTGCTGTGCTCTTACGTGCCTGGGAGAGCCCTGTCCTCTCTCTGGGTCATAGGTCCTGTTGCCATGATCTCTGGAGGCTTCCCGCTTGCTCATGGGCCAGACAGTGCAAGCTTAGCAAGGAATTGAATCTCACCATTTACTGAACCTGTCCTGGTGCCTGGCAGTGTCCTGGCCATGGGAAGGGAGGAGAGTTTTCTGTGAGTCTTCAGAGAGCAGAGCCCAGCAGGGATAAGAAGACAAGTGTCAAGAAGAACATGAGAAAGGCCAGGCCAGCCACGCATCCAGTAAGGCCACACACTTGTCAGGGCACAGGGCCCAGACTCCTAAGAACAGTGCCCTTCTTCCCTTCCTGACCCCATTCCCCAGCCGCATAGCTCCCTACCCTCCCAGCCATCCATGGGACATTTCTATTTTTTTTTGAGACACAGTCTTACTATGTTGCCCTCGGTAGAGTGCTGTGGCATTGTGGCATTATAGCTCACAGCAACCTCAAACGCTTGGGCTTAAGCAATTCTCTTCCCTCAGCCTCCCAAGTAGCTGGGACTATAGGTGACCTCCATAATACCCAGCTATTTTTTGGTTGCAGCCGTCATTGTTGTTTGGTGGGCCCTGGCTGGATTCAAATCCGCCAGCTCAGGTGTATGTGGCTGGTGCCTTAGCCGCTTGAGTCACAGACACCGAGCCTCAATGGGACATTTCTAAAGCATATGCCCATCACTCTCTCATTAAGGACCCTGCCACAGCCTCAGCCACCACCTAGGCATTTCCTAATGTCCTGGCCACGAAAGTCTTGTCTTGCTCAGCACTGTTCTTCAGATAGCTTTGGGGCCGAGGCCAAGACCATCTTGCTCTATACCCTTTGTCAGTAGTCCTTTGCTTCTCTGGGGCTTCATGTCCCTCTTTACCCCAGGCCCTTCAGTCCCTCACATGCCATCCCCTCTTTCTGGGCCTTCACCCTCTTCCTTCCTACCCATGCTCCTCTGAAGCTCTTCCTGAGCCCCAGGCAGTTGGCAGTCAGTGCTGTGGTCATATAATTTTGTCTCCTGGTCCCCAACACAGAATCTCAGAGTACGGAGCAGTGGGGGAACCGAGTTCTTCACACGGTCAGCAACCAAGTTCAAGGGTGTCCTGGCCCAGAAGTTCATGTTTGTGGATGGAGACCGGGCTGTGTGTGGCTCTTACAGGTGACTGGCTTTCTGGGGGCTGGGAGGAGAGGCGCCTCTAGGTCCCAGCTGGTTTCTGCCCTTAATCCTGACTTATGACACCCTGGTTATTCCGGTTCATTGGTCTCAAAACTGCTGAGGAGGTGTTCATGGGGCTGGGGCACGCCCATCCTTCTGTCTCTGAAGACAGGCAAAGGAGGGTGTTTGTCCGAAGACTGTTGTTCCAGCCTGGAGGTGGGGTGTGGGCCAGGCCTGGCTGTGCCTTTGTAAGCCCACAAGGTGATCATTCTGAAAGCTGTCCTAGGGATGGCTCTGCAGGCACCCCCCCACGGGGCAGTGGGCGAGGGCTGCCCATAGTCAGTGATGACAGCACCAGGCGCCATGTGCTACACAACCTCCAGTGTCTGGGGCAGCACTGGGCCACTGTGCAGAGCTGGGAGTGGGCTCCAAACGAGGGCCTGCCTCCATGCTCTGCCCTGCCCTCTGCCCCACTGGTTTGTGGTCCCAGGTCCTGCAGCCACTGCCTGAGGCACACTAGCTGGGGCCAAGTCAGGTTGCGGGTCCTTTGGGCTTGACCGGTGTCCCTCCCCCTCCCTCTACACTGCAGCTTTACGTGGTCAGCCGCGAGGACGGACCGCAACGTGATCTCTGTGCTGTCCGGCCAGGTGGTGGAGGTGTTCGACCGGCAGTTCCAGGAGCTGTACCTCATGTCACATGGCATCAGCCTCAAGGACATCCCCATGGAGAAGGAACCCGAGCCTGAGCCTATTGTGCTGCCCTCCGTGGTCCCCTTGGTGCCCACAGGTACCACAGCCAAAAAACTTGTCAACCCCAAGTACGCGCTGGTCAAGGCCAAGAGCGCTGAGGAGATTGCCAAGACCTCTTCTGACAAGCAGGAGGCCAAGAGGCCCACAGGGCTGCGGGGTGCGGCACTGGCTGAGGGATTGGGGGACCTGCCTGAGCCACCTCCCATCCACCCTGGGCTGCTCCACCTGGAAAGGGCTGACATGTTTGAGTATCTGCCCACATGGGTGGAGCCTGACCCCGAGCCAGGCAGTGACATCCTGGGCTACATCAATATCATTGACCCCAACATCTGGAATCCCCAGCCCAGTCAGATGAACCGCATCAAGATCCGAGACACGTCCCAGGCCAGCGCCCAGCACCAGCTGTGGAGGCAGAGCCAGGACCACAGCACCCACCCTGAGCCCCACCCTACCTCAGGGCCCAGTGCCCTCCAGGACAACATCGCAGTCCAGAACGGCCTCCCCCAGAGGGACCCTGAGCCACTGACCCCTGTGCCCAAGCCACGGACAGTCCCTGTGGCAGACCTGCTGGCCCAGGATGACAGCAGTGTTGGCTGGGCCCTGGAGACCGCATCAGAGGAGATACCCCAGAATGGGACAGGCCATGGGCTGCCCAGAATGGCTGGCTCAGGCCACCCCCCACTCCAGCGGCAACTGTCAGTGACCCGGGATGACCCCGATGGCCTGGGTGCAGGGATCCCAAATGGGCTGGATGGGGAGGAGGAGGAAGATGACGATGACTATGTGACCCTCAGTGACCAGGACAGCCTCTCGGGCAGCTCCAGCCGTGGCCCTGGCCCCTGGCAGCCCTCAGCGGCCTCCTCCCCCATGTCAGACGAGTACTTTGAGGTGAGGGAGCATTCGGCCCCTCTCCGGAGGCGCCACTCAGAGCAGGTGGCCAATGGTCCAGCCCAGCCGCCCCGCCGACAGCTGAGTGCCCCCCACATCACCCGAGGGACCTTTGGTGGACCTCTGGGTGGCTCCTTGTGGGCCCAGGGTCGGGGGAGAGAAGAGGTGGATGTGCCAAGGAAGATGCAGGCCCAGCGCCCCTCGGACAAGGAGGAACAGGTGGGTTGGGGCCCTGCAAGTCCCTCCCCACACTCTGCCTGAGAGCCTGGAGCTGCCATCTTCAGGGCTCCCACATCCCTGGCTCTGGTGGCTTTCTTGTTACAGATGGGGAAACTGATGAACAGGCAGGGTGGCTAGTGACCTCTAGGGCCATGTGGCAGACCATTGCCGAAGCTGTAGACTCCTGGTCCCAGAGTTGCCAGCAGGCAACCTAAGGAAAGGCACATTTCCCCCCAAAGGTCTCAAATATTTGTCATTACAGGGTCTTGATGCCACCTGCTAGGAGGCTAGTACAGTCCCCTAGTTCACAGACAAGGAAATGGTGGGGCACAGAGATATTTCTTTACAGCTTTGAGGTCACACAGCAGTTAGCAGTTACTAGTCTGGACCTTGTGCCAGCCCCTGTGGGTCAGTGCCTTAGACTGTGGCCCTGTGGACCACGCTCCTCTGCACTTGCCCTGCACGCTGGAAACAGCTTGCATGCCCCCCGGCCTCTCCTGCTGCTAACCTTTGCAGCACGAAGCACCCACCCTACCTGGGAACAGTGCCCGGCTGATCATGCCCGGCATGATGATCACACCCATGGGGAGCATCTTGAGGTAGCTGGCGAGGATGGAGCCTGCCCTGGCATGGTTCAAGTCCCGGGCAGACAGTGACCGCTGCACAATGACCTGGGGTGGGTTGAGAGATGAGTGAGTTCCAGCCCTAGGGTACACCCGTGTCAGGATTAGTCCCCCATGGATCTCAGGGACTTGTGTGAGACACAGCACTGTCTCATTAGCCCCCAACAGCCACACTTGGGGCTGCAGTACCTGATAGCATCCCACTGGGAGCCCTGTCCCCAGTGGGCCGAGCACTGAGGGAAATGTGGATTCTGCCCTGGCAGCTGTCAGAGCTGGAGGAGACCTAGGTGGGATGGTACCAGGGCCACCACACTCCCACCTTCATCTCCTGGACCCTCAAGAGAGTGGGCAGCACATTCATGGTACCAGGAGCTGTGTTTGTGTGGCTGGTGGAGATCAGGGGTTTCTGAGCTGGGGTTTGGGGAAACTTGCAGATCAGCAGACAGAGGGTGACTGCTGCCAAAGGGTAAATCCAAACTGGCCTCAGTTTCTAGATCTGCAAAATAGGTGGAGTAGGTAGTGGTGATTTGCGCTGATAAAATGTCTAAGATTCCTCCCAACTCTGTGATTCTACTTAAGAAAAAAAATGTGACTCTATAAATAGCCTTATGGAGATAAAAGTCACAGGCTACAGGGCCCTTTATAGTGCACACGCCTGTAGCATTCAGTATGTTCACAGGGTTCTGAAATGGAAATATTATTATTTTTCTTTACTTTTTTTTTTGCAGTTTTTGGCTGGGGCTGGATTTTGAACCTGCCACCTTCAGCGTATGGGGCCAGCGCCCCACTCCTTTGAGCCATAGGTGCCACCCTTTTTTTTTTTTTGAAGACAGAGTCTCACTTTATCGCCCTTGGTAGAGTGTTGTGGCATGACAGCTTACAGCTACCTCCAACTCCTAAGCTTAAGCAGTTCTCTTGCCTCAGCCTCCCGAGTAGCTGGGACTACAGGCGCCCGCCAGAATGCCCCACTATTTTTTTTGTTGCAGTTTGGCTGGGGCTAGGTTCAAACCTGCCACCCTCGGTATAATGGGGCTGGCACCCTACCCACTGAGCCACAGGTGCCGCCCTGTCAATATTTTTCTTTTGCTATCCCACAGTTGAAATCACCTCCTATAACTCAGAAGTAGGCATTGTCTGTGTGGTTTTAGCTTCTTTTCCAAGCATGCTAGTGTAACGGACAGCACCCAGCCTTCACCCCAACGCGTGGCTGCCACTGATACTTTAATTACAGAGGCAAAGAACATTCATGGGCCACAGCCTAGGGAGGACAAGGCAAGCTAATGTCCTCCCTGCTTCTCTGCCAGCTTGCTGTGACTGGGGTAAGTCCTGACCCTGTTTGGTCCTTAGTTTCCCCTGGTTCTGTCTAGACCAGGGGTGTCCATCCTGTGGCTAATGAACCACCTGCCGATTTTGTGAGCAATCTTTTTTTTTTTTTTTTTGCTTATCTGTGGTGTCATATATCAAAAAAAACTTTGTGCAGACTTTTTTTTTTTTTTTGCTCATTAGCGGTTCTCAACCTGTGGGTCGCAACCCACAGGAACTATATTAAAGGGCTGTGGCATTAGGAAGGTTGAGAACCACTGCTTTAATGTGTTGTCCAAGACAACTCTTGGTATTATTCTTCTAGTGTATGGCAGGAAAAAAAGGAGATTGGACACCCCTGGTGTAGACCCTTCCCCTCAACTGTCCTATGATTGCAGAAGCCTTGCCTTGGTTCTCTTGGGAGAGAAGCACTCCCCTAAACCCACACTGTGTCTTCTGCTGTGGACAGCGGTGTCTGCGTCCACGTTTCCTTCTGTGCTCCTGGTGGATGGAGAAGTTGAGGTTTAGCGTCTCCATGAGCCCTGAGGTCTGCCAGCCCCTCACCAAGCAGGGCAGGATCCCCTACTTCCCCTTGATGTCAGCAGGCCACTGTGCCCCCAGTGCCTCTCAGTGTTGCCATGGCCCCCTGCCTGGGAGGCCAGCACCTGCCCTACAAGCTGGGTTGTTTCTCATCCTGAACCACTGGCTTCTCACCTACAAATGGGTTGTACCACCACCCGCAGGGGTGTTGTAAGGACTGAGTGAGACCACCAGTATAGCTGGCCAAGCCTGTGCCTGGCTCATCAAGGGCCTTCAGCAGTGAGCGCCCTTCCTCAGTGAGTTTTAGGGTGTGACTATCAGAGTCATCCATGGCTGACCACAAAAAGTTATGGTCACTGTTACGACTGAGGCTGCTTGCTGATGACTAGAAAGGAAGACCCAGCTAGTACAGTGGCTCACGCCTGTAATCCCAGCACTCTGGGAGGCTGAGGCAGGTGGATTGCTTCATCTCAGGAGTTCGAGATTAGCCTGAGCAAGAGCGAGACCCCAGTCTCTAAAAATGGAAAAACTAGCCAGGTGAGCGCCCATAGTACAAACTGCTCAGGAGGCTGAGGCAGGAGGATCACTTGAGCCCACAAATTTAGGTTGCTTTGAGCTTTGACTCCACACAGGGCAACAGAGTGAGACTTTGTCTTATTAAAAAAAAAGAAAAGAAAACACCTTGTCTCGAGCTCCAGCATCAGCAGGTGACAGGAGCTTACCTCCTGTCCTCATGGCAGGACTCCAGGTGGCCTCCCATGTAGACAGGGCACTGAGGCCGGGGAGGGCAGTGGCAGAGCTCAGATGGGAGCCTAGGCCACGACTCTGCCCATGTGGCCTTCTGTCCTTTATTTATTAGTGGCCTTGTTTGTTTCTTACTATAAACACACCACCTGCTCACTGTGGATGTGCCAGAAGACAGTGAAAAGTATAAACAAGGAGACAGGAAGCCCATGTGGTCTGGGCACACAAAACTGCTGCCTCCCTTCAGACTAGCCCATGGGCATCTTTGAGGGCTACCCTGGCCACGGAGCTGAGTAGAGTCAGACCCCAGGAGCCCAGGAAATCCCTAGGCCCTAGTGAGGACCACAGAGATGGGGCAGCCTTGAGCAGGACCAGCGTCAAGGTTGTTGGGGGATCTGGACCAAGGCCCAAGCAGACCCAGCTGGAGGGAGGACCAGGAGGTGGGCAGTAGTCCAGGCTGTGGGCCTGAGTGCTACTGGTGCTCTGGACCACATGGGGTCAGCAATGTCCTAGCTGATATGGGAATCTCCAGGGCATATTTGCCAGAGTGGGAGGAGCTTGCTCGAAGGCCAGGTTACAGATGGGGAAACAGAGGCCCAGGTTCCCTGGGCTTCTGAAACCTCCCAGCCTGGATCACTTCCTTCTGTTGTAACCCAGGGAGAGTCTTCAGTCAAATGCCGACTGAGCTCCTGCTGCTGGGGAGAGGAAGAGCTGCATCAGAGCCCAGACATGTCTCTTCTCTCTGAGTTTGAACCTGGTTCTATCTCTGGGCCTGTGTTCTAGCATGTGAATGGGCCGCAGGGCCTACTCTGAGGGGAGGCCATGTGTAAGAGGCTTGTGGGAACCCTGTCATCGCTCATCCCACAGTGGCTGGCTGTGGCCTGCTGGCCTAGCTGCCCCTTCTTGTGGAGAGGCCCCTGGAGGCGCAGATATCAGGGGTCTGTACCCACCGAGACTCTGCAGCTTCACAGGGGCCTCCCTCCCATGTGCTGCTCAGACTGCTTCTGGCCTCAGGTCACTGTCTGGTGCTGCCCAGAGAGGTCAGGTGGCTTGTCTGAGGTCACCGTGGAGGGCTGACAACGAGGGCAGGGCCTGAGTCACCCCCCACACTCAGCAGAAGTCCCAGCTGTGCCTCTGACAACCCCAGGTCTTTTTCTAACCATGCACAGCACCATTTGCAGGTAGAGGAGACTGGGTCCAGGGTGGTGAGGAAGAGCTGCAGGAACTCATCATAGTTACAAGGGGCAGGATTACTCCCATGTGACTTGAGGAAATTGAGGCACAGAATGGTCAAATCATCTGGTAAGTGGTGGAGCCAGGTAAGCTCTGTGATACCCCAGCCTCTGGTCCTCACTCTGCTTTCTCTCTCTCCCAGGGCCAGCGGTTCCACCACTGTAGGGTCCCTGCCTCTGGGACCAGGGGTAAAGATGGCTTCCGAGGAGCCCTCCAGTTCCGCTCTGCTGGTAATGGCGCCCAGAGCTCTACCAGGAAAGCGGGCCCAGCTTCAGCAGGCCCCCACCACTGGCAGGCCAAGAGCGGCCCAGTACCCCGTGTGCTGTCAGGTCCTGCAAGTCCAAGGCTGGCCCGAAATGCCCGCCCCCTGGCTGATGGCCCAGCCACCGAGGAGCATCCCAGTCCCTTGGGAATCCCATACTCCAAACTGTCTCAGTCAAAGCACCTAAAAGCTAGGACAGGAGGCAGCCAGTGGGGCTCATCTGATTCTAAACGGAGGGCTCCGGCCCCCCAGGACCGCAAGGACCCCTAGCAGCCTGTCTCAGCCTGGTGCCACACCCTCCCAGGCCTCTGCCCAGCCCAGACTCAAGATGCGGGAAGCAGATGGGCCACCTGCACCTGCCACATCCCAGCATGCCAGGAAGGTGGTGAGAGGTGTTGGCACTCACCTGGTCAGTGCACCAGTACCAGGTGGCCATGATGGTCAAGCCAAAAGTCATCCCGGTCCATGGCAGGTCCCCTGTGTGGGGGTCTCGGAACATATGCATGGCGTCTGCCCTTGGCAGGTGGCAGGTGGTGTTGGGAATGGTCTTGGAGGGGATGGCGCGGGCATAGGCTGCCTCCAGCTGCCCATAACCACCGATCTGGTTGAAAGCTGGAGGGATTGGGGTGGGACAAACACGGTTTGGTGGTTGGGGGACTTGAGTCCCTGGGCTCCCACTGCTCTCATCTCACAAGTAACTTCCTGACATGTCAAACTTGAGTCTTTCTCACCTCGTCTTTCCAGTATTAGGAAAGATGTGGAGGGTAGAAGGTTTTTAAAAAAAGAGGGATGAATCTGAATAGTTACTTTATTTGTATTTAAAATAATACTATTAGAAGAGCATTTTGCACGTGGACACCCAGGCAGGGCTGCTGCTGCCTTTGGATGCCTGTTGGCCTCCAGGAGGCAAAAGTGTTTTTTTCTCAGGTTTAAGGACCTTCCTGAGGCTTCTTACCTGGGGCACCCAAAGGCAGAGCTAAGGATGACCACAACCCCATCTCCAGGAGCTGCAGAGGTTCAGGGAGGGGCAGGGGCTCCAACAAGGACACAGTCCCTCAGGTGGGGTCAGGCCAGGGCTCTGTCTTACATCCAGCCCATGTTTGCCTCTCACTGTTCCCAATCTACCTCGGGGTCAGGGCCCTGTGTGGCCAAGCCCTGGCCCATTAGTGGCTTTCACTGTGTCTGTGGTCTCCCCTTCCTGTCCAAACTGGACCTGGTTGCCTGGATCTCTTTCATGCAGGGGGCTCCAGGGACAAAGCACCCTTGGTCTCAGAGGGAGAATTCTCGAGAGATGGGAGAAACCCTGTCCCTGCCCAGGTCCTGTTTCCCAGCCCCCCACCTTCCTGAGCTGCCTTCCTAGGCCAGGGTCTGTGCTCAGACCAGGACCCTTGTGGGGCTCAGAGCAAACAGACACTACATGGCCTCTCAGTCTGAGTCTGGAGGAATTGTTAAAGGTGTTCATTCACTGTCCATGGGATCTTCCTGGCTCTGCTTGATACTTCAAGCAACAAGGAGCTCACTGCTTATGTAGCAGCCCCACAAGCTTCCTGTATGTTCCAGACTAATATGGTTCATCTGAGCTGTCTCTCCCCACCCCCACCCTACCTTGGTCCAGTAGGAGGTGGCATCACCTCTTGGATTTGTACATGATGTTAAACATTTGGAGCAGATACCAGGTCTCCTAATTGTGGTCTACACACCTGCCTGTAGCTCCACCTCATGGTCAGGTGCTGAGCCAGGCTGGGCACAACCAGCCCAATGTTTCTGAGCCCAGTTTCTGGGGCCTCGCCTGACTTGGAGCTGGTGACAGCTGTGGCAGCCCCCACCATCCAGGGGAGGCCAGCAGGGGCTGATCCTAGTGGTCTGACCTCCCAACTGCCCCCTCAGCATGAGCCCTGCTGGGAGTGGTCAGGGCCAGTCCCCAAGGGCCTTGCTGCTAGGGCAGCCTGGCCACAGCTCAGAGCCTTCAGTCCTCACCTTTGACTGTCAGAATAACAGCCCCCACCACCATGATGAGCGTCTGCAGGGCATCCGTGTAGATCACAGCAGCTAGGCCCCCTGAGAGTGGAAACAAGCTCGCTGGAGAGGGACCTGGCCTGGGCAGGACAGATGTAGGAAGGCGCTTCCAGAGCTCCCCCATGGTGGCCATCCCATGTGCACAGCCATGTCCTTTATAGACAGGTAAGCTGAGACACAGCCAGGCTCTAGGCTCCTCTGACTCCATCTGGCCACTTGGCAGGCTACTCCCCAGTCTGTGGGTGTAGGTGGCCCTCTGCCTCCTGCGCCCATCCCTGGCTGCCCTCCCTGCTGCAGACCGTACCTGCAATGGTGTACAGGGCTGTGATGCCCAGTGTGAGGGTGGTGGAGAGGTAGAAGTTCCAGCCCAGGCAGATGTGCACAAAGAGAGCCCCGGCATACAGGTCCAGCTGGGGAGGAAGGGAGGCTTGTGTGGGTGTCTGGGTCACTGCTAGAGCCAGGGCTCCAAGAGCCTCTCGGAGCCTCAGTGTCCCTCACCTGTCTGCACCACGGGGGGCTGTCGTTGTGAGGGTAGAGGAAGAACTGGCTGTGGGCAACCCAGATGTACAAGGGATGTTACTGTTGCCAATAAACTCAAACTGGCCACCACCCACCAAAAGCAGCGTGTTACTAAATCAGGCCCCTGCCCAGGAGAACCCTGTCCCCTGGTTCCCAGGGACACTCTGACAAGGAGTCTTCTGAGAGGAGTTCATAGGGGTTTCCATGGAGGTGGGGGCAGAGGGCCAGTCTTGCTACTGCCCCCCCCCCCCAGCTCCCCTTACTGGTGGCTCAGAAATCTACGTATGTCTCAGGACCAGATTGGGCCCAGGGCTGGACTAGACACAGCCCTGCCGTCCCAGAATGAGGGGCCACATGTGGGGTAGCAGCCCTCATCTGGGGACTTTACAGCCCATGATCCCAGAGGGAGGGTAGGTCTCTACCCTACAGGACCCAATGTGGGTAACAGGCTCCATCCCTAAGTCTCCGAATCTGCCATTTATTCTGTGTAGGCCCCATAGAGGGGACATAACCTGGAACATAGCCTCTGGGGCCCAGCTGTGGATCACAGAACCTGCTAGCTGGTAGCGGGGACACTGGGCCCCTTCAAGCTTCCCTAGGGCCTGGCCTAACTTGCAGCAGACCAGCTCTGTCTACAGCCAGGCTCCAGTGACCCCACCTGCTGGCCCCAGCCCCCGGGATGCAGCCCAGGCTATGGGCTTTGACTCCTAAGGTCTGCACCCGTCTGTGCAGGTTCCTCCCTAACCCTCTCTTGGAGAGATCCACCAATTTTGAAACTCTAACAGGTACTCTCAGGAGAACACTGACCCCCTCGCTCTGGCCCCTGCCTGCAGCTGTTTGTGTGTGTGTGCACGCAGTGGTGGTTCATGGGGATGTGGAGAGTTGGTGTCTCCCTCCAGCTGCAACAGAGAAGCCCAGAGGTGCTCAATAGCAGAGCAGGAAGGCCTCTTCCCACACCCTCCCCATCAAGTGGGGAGAAGCTGGGTGCCAGGAGGGGAGGGGACTTCCCCAAAGTCAGGCCCTGGTAGACAGAGTTGGAATTGCCAGGGGTGGGAGGACAGGAGGCTTCTATAAAGCCTGTAGCAGCTGCTGCTCAGGACTCCTCCCTGGACCCCAGGTGCCCTCCTCTAGGACAGAGCCCGGTCTGTGCCCAGCCTTCAGGCTCTGACTCATTCCCCACTCAGCACGCTGCTGCCTCCAGGTCTCCCCAGTCTCTGCCTCCCATCTTTTAGAACCCACCCATCTCAGAGTGCCCCAGAGCCCTCTGTTCCTTGGGGACAGATAAAGCCCCCCCTTTTATGGCAGGAGCCCCCTGAGAGTGATGAGGGGTCTCTCAGGTACAGGAACAGCTCAAGCAAAGGTGTGTGGGGACTATTCCTGCTGTCTGCCCTGTACCTTGGACCTGCCATGGCATGCCACCTGCCAGGGAGTCCCTGTCTGACCCTCCTTCTACAGCCCAGGCTCTCTTCCCTGTGGTAGAAGCCAAGGGCTGCACGACCCTGGGTCTGTGTCCTTGATCTGCCATGTCCTGGCCATGCGGCTTTAAGTGGGTCTCAGTGGCCCTTATCTGTAATATGGGCACAGATGCAGAATGAACACAGTTGTTCCTGCCTTCCAGGCTTTCTGTCCATCACTTCCCTCCAGACAAGACTCTTGGGAAGATTTGGGGATCGCTGAGATGACCAACTGTCCTCTGGGCCCTCTCCCTGGGACTAGGAGCAGCTGCAGAGTGTAACCCACCTTCCTAAAGGTTCAGTCGGGAGGCCCAGGCCAAGGAGCAAGGGAACTTGCCTGTGGAGGCAAAAGGTCTGCACCAGGGAACTGCATCCCCCAAGGAGGGCCACTCTCAAAGGCATAAGGCAAGCCAGGCCCTCACTCCAGGCCACCACCCAGCAGGGCCAGGCCCACTGGTCACCCCCAGCTCAGAAACCTGCTGCTGTCCAGAGGCGCTACCTGCTCCTGTGATGTGGCCCCACACTCATCCACCACTGTCTTTACCCTTGCAGGACCCCCTTGAGCCTTCCCCTCTTCTTGTACCCAGAAATCTTGCTGCCCTCAGGGCCTCAGGACACCTGCCGACTTGGGTGCTCATGTGCTCTGTATGCAGAGTCTCAGGCAGTGCCCACAGCCCCCACTCCACAGAGAGGGGGACACCTGGGCTGTCCTTGAGAATGAGTTCAGAATTTCCTGCTCACACTCTTCCTCTCTCTCCTACGTTTCCTGAGCACCACCCACCAGTGACCTCTCTGGAAGCCAAGGGTACAGAAATGACTTAATACCTGGCCCAACCCGCCAGAAGACTCACACTGCAACAGGAGGCAGACTGATGATCCGGATGAATAAACTTGGACCTCAGAAGAGGACATTGACAGGGCTGGTGTTTGAGTCTGGCTTTAATAGAGATGGCGACAATGATGGGGGAGGGTGGCAAAGGCCAAGGACAGAGGTGGGGAGTTTGTCTGGGGGTGGCTGGGCCAGGAACCTAGGCTTTAGTGGTCACTGTGTCAGACACTTCCAGAACCAGTTGGGAAGAAGTGTGAAGAAAGGCTAAGGGTAAGGCGATAGGGAGTGGTGGGGACTGAGGCATTCTTACTAGATGGGCTCCTATACGACATTGGTTTTGGGGCTGCCACATTCCAACTCTGGCCTGCCATGAGAGATAAGACCAGGGAGCTCTGGTTGTGAGTGGCCAAAGGGCACTGGGGATTGTGAGCAGGGCGGACGTGGTCAATGCTCTCTGGAATCTCTGGGGAGTAGACTGGGGGGACAGAGATGAGAGAAGGGAGGCTGAGCCATGGGCACAGGGTACTTCCTCCCCCGGTTTCCTCCTGCTGACACCATCATGGCAGAGTTTGTGTGTCACACTCGAAGCATGCTTAGAGAGGGTGGCTTGGATGGAGCCTCCTGAATGGCTGTGGAAAGACCTCAATAGAAGTGAGAGGATGCTGAGAGAACATCTTGTCCAGGTCCCCTAGATTACGGATAAGACAGCTGAGGCTTACAGAATGGCTGTCACTTGGTCATGGCAAATCAGGCATAGACCACTGTTTCAAATCCAGGCCTCTCCCACCAGTCCAAGGTCCCAGTCATGGCACTGCTGCCCCAAAGCAGCCAGGATGTAGCCCTTTGAACTTCACCTTGTGGTGGGGTGATTCAGTTTGCTCAACTGTAAAATGTGGAGACACCCACTCACATCAGGGCTGGGCATCAGAGCCAATGCTGGGGCTGCCGGGATGAGTTGAGGAACACCAGTTGCCAGGTTGGTGTGTAGGGACTAGGGCACCCAGCAATGGCTGGGAATGGCGCTCAGTAATGGCGCTGTCTGAAGTGTATGGGCCCAGCAGTCCTGACCTCCCAGGGCTGAGCCCAGGAACACTGGATTCATCTGCCCATCCAGCCTGTCTCCAGAGTCACAAGGCTGCCCACTATAACCCCTCAGGCAGGGGCACTGGCCTACAAAGGAACCTGCAATGGTGGGGTCCGGAGAATCACCACCTTGAACTGTGGGGGGGACCTGTGGCCCAGCTCCATCACTATGGCACTCTAGGCCAGCCACTTAACCTCTGGAAAATAGGGAGTGAGGCCTGGTACCCCACACCACTAAGAGTGAAGGTCCTCCGTGGTATGGTGACCCTCCACCTCCCTGGCCTCACCTCTGCCTCTTCTTCGTGTGCTGCAGCAGCCATGCTGGCCTCTTTGCACCCCTGAGTGCCAGGCACAGCCCTGCCTTGGGGCTGTTACACCTGCCGTGGTCTCTACCTGGAACCCCCTAACCTGGATGCCCTGCAAAATCTCTCAAGGCTGTCAATCTCCCTAGGACGCCCCACCGGCAGGCCCAGCTTCCTTACCTGCTGTCCCCCTTCTTAAACACTTAGCAGCACCTTCTGGGATGCTGACCATGGACTCGGACACCTGCTGTCTGTCTCCCCCCCTTTCCTGTCCTTGACATATCCCCAGAACCTCACGAGCTCAGCATACACCTCACGAGACCAAGTGGGGGAATCTATGCCTGAGATCCACTCATTTTTTTCTGTGAATGGCCAGATTGTAAATATTTTTGGCTTTGCAGGCCACATGGCCTCTGTCCTGACTCATCAGCTCGGCTGCTGGGTCCCCAGACAGACAGTGGGACACATGAGTGGGTTTGGCTTGTGGGCTCTGAAGCCCATGCCCTCTCTGTGCACCTATTGTGTGCCGGCCTGGGTGAGCACCCCACACTATAGGTGCTTTCCAGACAGAAGAGGTGAAGAAACCGACCAGTAAAATCATAATACAAGGTAAAAGTGCCATAAGTGACCCAAACATGGGGCGGAAATGAAAAGTGGGAAGGATGGAGTAGGCAGCAGTGGAAATGCCACCTCTCGGGCAGGACAGAGCATGGTGGGTCCAGGAGCTCAGAAGCTGGCTGGGCCGGGGCACATGGGACAGCAAAAGGGGGCAGCAATGTTCCACTGGGACCATGGGATGACGTAAGGCCCCTGGGCAGGGCCAGGCAGGGCAACAGTGAGGCTTTCTCCTGGTTTGGGAGAAATGCAGTTGCCCTCTGGTTTCCTCCGAACAAGCCAAGGGCAGGAGGCCCCATGAGGGCTCCCAAAGGGATCGATCACGGCTGGAGCAGGGGACAGGGCACATGGGTCTGACCCAGGGAGTGTGACAAAGGAGGGAGGAGATTCTGGTCCTACCCCTGATAGCTATGGCCTCTATGCAAATGGACAAGGTAGAGGACACAGGGGACAATCTATGAGGAAATCACACAGTAAATATCAGTGTGCAGCCTCTCTGCTGCCCCACGGAGGAAGGTGGCCTGTTGGGACAGGGTCAGGGCTCAGGTGAGGGGCAACTGGAGCACCAGGCAGTCCCCACCTCCTTCAGCCTGGAATATGCCCTGGCATGGATGACAGTTTCCACTAACTGGACAATGGAGTGAGGTTCCTTTGTGCATGTAGGGAGCTTGGGGCTCCAAGCTGTGCAGAGCCCAGCAGACCAGCCCCAGCTGCACCCCACGGCCCACACATTCCCCCTCAGCCTAGCTCTTGTGGTGGCTAAACATGGTATCAGGAGTGAGGCTGCCTGGTCCCCATAGTGTGCTCTCTTGGGGGCCCAGGCCATGAAGGCCATCTGCAGGAGCTCACAAGGGGAGAGGGGCAGCCAGCTGGGAGGGTATGGCCTTGGGCCCTGCCTTCTAGGACTTTGACAAAGGTGTGTGTTTCACCTGTATTAGTGTCCAGTATAGCCCACCTCAAACACCACCCCAGCCAGCCCCATCATGTCCTCTTCCAAGGTCCGTGCTTGTCCTAATCTTAAGTCGTTTCTGTATCCTTTGGTTTCCAGGGAGGTCGCTAGTGGTGGTAGTGGTGGGTGCTCAGGAAACACAGAGGAGGGAGGAAAAATGTGAGCAGAATATTCTGGACTCGTCCTCAAGGACAGCCGAAGGCCAGGTACTTTCAGGCTCTGAAGGGATCTCAAAGAAAGAAAACCTCTTATAATACTCTGAGAGTGTCTAGCAGAGATGGCCATGCAGGGCTTGCTATTAACCACTCATGGAAACCCACCCACATGAATATCAAGGCACTCTGGGGTACCCCCTGGAGTCACCCATGGGCACCATGTAGGTGGAGTTGAGCCAGGGCTGCAGTAGGGACGCCCCAGGAGAGCAGGAAGCAGGTCAGATGCTGGGTGCTGCCTCTACAGGGCCCAGCGGGGCTCTATGTGAACCCTCACAGGGCCCCATTGCCAGGTACCCCTGCCCACAGCTTCTAGTTGCCAGTGAGGCCTTGACCTCTATGCCTCCATTCCTTCCACTAAATCAGTGTCACACCTGGGTTTCCAAAGTCCCAGAGCTGAACAAAGAGGTACAAGGGGGTGGCATCACTGAAGAGAAACCGCCCCATAGGACACGGCCCACAGACACCACGCCAGACCTTAGAAACTGGCCTGCCTGCTCCTAACCCCCACAAGTGAGGAAATTGAGGTCCAGGGAGGCCTGGGGACTTGTCCAGGTTCCCTGAGCCAGAATCAGGCAGCCCCAAGGCTCACGCTCCCTTCAGAAGCCTGGAGCTGAACAAGGGCAGATGCCACCAGGGACCCAGAGTGAGAGTTGGAAGGCCTGGTGTTGCGACAAGGTACCAGGAGGCTTGGGATGAGTTCTTTTCCCTTCTAGGCCTCAGTTTCCCTATTTGTAAAGTCAGGGACTTGGACTAGCCCAGCCCTAAACTCCTGCTGACACTGGCCTAGGAGGTGTGCTTTTGGCTCCTGATGTCCCAGGGGCCCTGGGCCAAGCCCCTCTTGGAGAAGGAAGACCCTGGCAGAGCCAGGACGGGACTGGCTGAGATCACAGGGCTTTGGTGCCCCCTAGTGGGAAGTCCGTGCTCACCTTGTGCTGCTCCAGCCCTGACCCTCTTACCTGAGGGCCACCCTAATACCTGACTAGGACCTGAGGGGAGGCACTGGGCTGTGTTTGCTACCCCTGTCCCTTGCTGGGCCTCCGTTTTCCCAGCTATTAAACAGGGCAGGCTCTGTGGTCTGGGACCTGTGGGGGCAGCTTACCGATATCTTAGTGAAGACAGACAGCAGCAGGGAGAGGACAGACAGGTACATGCGAATCCGTTGGCCTCCATAGCGCTTCTGAATGTACTCAGGCAAAGTGACGATCTGAGGGGCACAGGTAGCACTCAGCCCTCCCTGAGATGGTGCCCCACATTTAGGGCACGGGCCATCTCAATCACTATCTCTCCCCGGCACATAAAGCAGCTGTGAGTCCCTGGGGACAAGGCCTTGAGTTCCAGGCTGAGTTCCGACTGTGTGCTGAGGGTTTTAGGCTGGACAGTGGCATGCAGAGATGGCCCTTCAGGGCTGAAATGAGGAGGGATCAGAGGGGCTGTGGCTAGAAAGAGGGCAAGTTTAGAAACTATTATGATAAATCCAGATGAGCTTTTTTTTTTTTTTGAGACAGAGCCTCAAGCTATCCCCCTGGGCAGAGTGCCGTGGCATTACAGCTCACAGCAACCTCCAACTCCTGGGCTCAAGCGAGTCTCCTGCCTCCGCCTCCCAAGTAGCTGGGACCACAGGTGCCCGCCACAACGCCCGGCTATTTTTTTTTTTTTTTTATGGTTGCAGCCGTCATTGTTGTTTGGCAGGTCTGGGCTGGGGAATCGAACCCGCCACCTTAGGTGTACGTGGCTGGCGCCTTAGCCAGTTGAGCTGTAGGCGCCAAGCCGAGATGAGCTTTGATGAGGCTGGACTGATGCAGTGGCTGTGAGGGGCAGAGCAGGGGACAGGCTGAGGGGGTCCAGGGAGTGGAATCAACTGGACTCAGGAGTAGACAGAATTAAGAATGGTGCATCTCATGTGTGCAGGCCAGGTGTGTGGTCCAGGTGTGCCACCAAGGATTGTTGCCCAGGTATGTGGCTTGTGTGCCTGAGTGGGTGAAGCATCAAGCTTACAGAGCAGCATACAGGATAGTGGAAGCCAGCCAGCAAGGCACCAGGCTGAAGTCCAAGGGGAGCCGGCCTAATGGGTTGGTAGGAACACTTGTTGGACTAATATTAACAGCAAACTCAGCCCTGAGAGTTCACTACCTTGTGAAGTGAGGCCACAGGGATCCTAGCCATCACCACCAACTACTTGGACCAAGACCCAGCCCTTAGCTTAAGGTCCCTGGAGCAGACTCACCTCCGAGGAGATGTAGATGGGGATGAAGATCCATGCCAGCGCCAGCAGCACATATGTGGCCTGCAGGGACAGAGGCAGGTGAGAACCAGGGGCACAGCTCCCATAAGCCCTGCTCTGGGGACACAGCTGGATGTGGCTGAGCTGAGCAGCCTGGAGATGCAGCTTCCCCCACTCCTCCTGACTTGCCCCTTCCCTGCTCTGGACCTCTGCAGACAAATGGCCCAGTGGGCCCAGGCCAACAGCTCCCTGCCAGTGCCGTGGCGTCTGAAGGCCAGACTTGTCCAGGAATAGCCCTGCATGGAGCCCGCTGGGACATGGGCTGATACCAATCACAGGAGCTGCCCTCACCCAGGCTAAGGTGCCCATCCCCTCTGCCCAACCTCCTACAGGTTGCCCATCCTCTGGAGCTCACATTCCACTCGAAGCCTGCGACGGCCAGGCCTCCAGCTGCACCTGAGCCTGCCAAGCCGATGAAGAGGCCAGAGCCTTCACTGCTGGCAAAAAGGGAAGCTCCGATCTGGAGGAGAGAGGGGGAGACGCATCAGCCACAGGTACCCACACTAGCCCTACCCTGCACCAGACAAAATCTTCATTCTCATGAACCTAAGTTAACCCCCACCCTGACTTCAAAGATGAGACACTTGGGGTGTGGGTACACCGCTAAGGAGCATTCGTAAGTTTCAGACCCCGAAGCCCCTGCTTTTCACAGTTTCCAGCAGCCCAGTCCTAAGCTGGAAGCTCAGGGATGTCCCCCTGGCCTCAAGCCTGCCCCATTGAGCCAATCTGGGTGTTGACCTTAGGACAGGAAGACACAAAAAGTGACCCTAGGGATGCAGATGCTGGTTGATCTGACCTCACACTGGCCCCACAGATGAAGGACGGGGTGACAGAAGTCAGGTGCACTCACCGGCCACCATGTCATGTCCCGGCCTGCCAGGAAGTAGCCGCTCACGGTGTTCCTGCTGGCCCGACAAGAGGACTGAGGAACAGAAAGGGTGGGACTTGGAGCCTTTGCATTGCTGGAGGGAATGTAGGGTGGGGCTAACACTGTGGACACCGTGTGGTGACACCCTAAAAGGTTAGCCATAGAATCATCATGGAACCCAGCAATTCCTCTACCTGGTATAGCCCAAAGGAATACAAAAAACGTATGTCCACACAGGACAGGTGTGCTCGTAACAGTGGTATCAGAATGGCCGAAAGTGGAACAACTTAAATTTCCATGAAGGGATAGATGAACAGAATGCAGTCTAGCCGTACAAAGAGTGCCGTTCAGCCATCAAAAGGGATAAGGTTCCGACACCTGCTACAAATTGGAGGCAGCTTCAAAACATAATGCTGAATAGGCTGGGCTTGGTGGCTCATACCTGTAATCCCAGAACTCTGGGAGGCTGAGGTGAGCGAATTGTCTGAGCTCACAGGTTCGAGACCAGCCTGAGCTATAAGGAGACTTCATCTCTACAAATAGCCAGGCATTGTAGTGGGCACCTGTAGACTCAGCTACTTGGGAGGCTAAGGCAAGAGAATTCAAGAGAATTTTGAGCCCAAAAGTTTGAGATTGCTGTGAGCTATGACACCATAGCACTCTACCAGGGGGCAACAAAATGAGACTCTGTCTCAAAAAAAAGAAAAATAATAAAAAAATCACACTGGGCTTGGTACCCGCAGCACAGTGGTTATGGCGCTGGCCATATATACACCAAGGCTGGCAGGTTTGAACCCGGCCCAGGCCAACTAAACAACAATGACAACTGCAACAAAAAAATAGCTGGGCATTGTGGCAGGTGCCTGTAGTCCCAGCTACTTGGGACACTGAGGCAAGAGAATCACTTAAGCCCAGGAGTTCAAGATTGCTGTGAGCTGTGATGCCACAGCACTCTACTAAGGGTGACATATAGTGAGACTCTGTCTCAAACAAACAAAAAATCATACTGAGTGAAAGAAGCAGGACACAAGAGCCACATGTATGATTCCATTGATATGAAATGTCCAGAGGGGCAAATTCAGAGACTGGCAGCAGACATGTGGTTTCCAGAGGGTGGGGAGGCAGGAATGGGGAGTGACTGCTGGTGGGGACAGGGTTTCCTCTTGGGGTGATAAAAAAAAATTTTTTTTTTTGAGACAGAATCTCAAGCTGTCCCCCTGGGTAGAGTGCTGTGGCATCACAGCTCACAGCAATCTCCAACTCCTGGGCTCAAGCAAGTCTCCTGCCTCTGCCTCCCAAGTAGCTGGGACCACAGTTGCCCACCAAAATGCCTGGCTATTTTTTGGGTGCAGCTGTCATTATTGTTTGGCAGGCCCGGGCTGGATTCAAACCTGCCACCTTAGGTGTATGTGACTAGCGCCTTAGCCACTTGAGCCACAGGTGCCAAGCTGATAAAAATGTTTTGGAGCTAGCTAGAGGTGATGGCTGTATGACACTGTGCATTACTAAATGCCATGAAATGGTGAACTTTATGTTATGTGAATTTTACCTCAGTTAAAAAAAGAAATGGAGGTGGTCAGTTCTCTGTCCCTGGCCAGCCACCCTGACCATGGGCCCCCCAGTCGGCCCTGCGGTCTTAACTCATTTGCAGCTTACTTGGGGCATCACCCAAACTCCTGCCTGGCAAGAGCTAAGGCAGGGCTGCAGGGAGAGGGGGAGCCGTGGATGCCCCTGAGGGGATCTGTTGGCCTAGGGGAGGGCAGGACACAGACAACTAGACAGGTTCCTCTCCTGCAGGCACTTCCATGAGCCCTGAATGTCAAGTCCAAGCTTGGACACAGGGATCAGATCAGCTAAGTAAACTCCTAGGTTCAACCAATCCTCCTGCCTCAGTTTCTGGAGTAGCTGAGATTACAGGTGCCTGCTACAACACCTGCTAATTTCTTTTCTTTTCTTTTCTTTCTTTTTTTTTTTTTTCTGGTAGAAACAGAGTCTCTCACTCTTGCTCAGGCTCGTCTCAAATTCCCAAGCTCAAGGGATCCTACCACCTCGCCTGCCCTCCTTTGCTGTTCTTTACGAGGACTTTGTCTCAAGGAAACTGAGAGCCCTTTGGCCTTGGTATTTATATTTCTTATACACTTCAGGAAGCATAAGAGTGTTCCTGCAGGTGTTTTGTTTGAGGAAGAATAGAGAATTTTATGCTCCGTGTATGTGGAATCTACAATCAGAATGCCTGGGAGTAAAATAGGGCAACGCGATCTTGGGCAAGTTATGAGGCGCCTAGGTTTCCTCATTTGCAACGTGGGCCAAGAAGTTCATCCTCAAAGATTTCCGTGAGTGATCATGAGAGTACGTGCAGCCAGCCAGGGTGTCTGGGGCAGGCAGTGCTTAGTAAGGGCCAGTGGGTATGGGGACTTCATAAGCCCTCACTCTCTGGGTGGGAGAAATGGAGAAGATATGAGATCAGACCAGGAGCAATTTGAAAAGAAGAGCACAGGAGGCATATTGAGACATACATTTTGCATTTCTCTTCCAGGCTAGATCACAAAATAGCAAGCAACATGCCGGTTTCATCATTGCTGCCTTTCATTGCCCTGCCTTGTACTCACAATGACAGAGCCTTGTTGGGCCCCCTGCTCAGAGCTTCTTTATTTACTTACTTTTATTCTTTGAGACAGGGGTCTCACTATATTGCCCTGGCTGGTTTCAAACTCCTGGGCTGAAGCGATCCTCTCACCTTGGCTCCAGAGTACCTGGGACTAGGTGTGCGTCACTCCGCTTGGCTTTAGAGCTTTTGATGTGGCTCCTGCCTATTTCTCTCCAGCCCCAGCTCCTGCCTTGTACGTGTGCTGTGAGCGGTTGTACTGAATAACCCATAGTCATCACCAGGATGGCTGTATCCAGATGTGTAGTGCTGATCATCGCTGTGCTCCTCCCTAACACTTCTCATCTCTCCTGGCCACAGTGGGCAGTGCCACTTGCCTTTTTTTATCCCTTTCCCTGCATAAGGGGCATCATATTTCCCAGCAACTGGCCTGGGTGGTTCCAACGCAGTTTCCAGTTAGGGACCCCTAGACACTTAGGCCACAGACCATCACTTTCTGTTGCTATTGTGCCTGACTTATGTCGGTACAGAGAATAGCTGAGATTGCCCCCTGCTTTCCTGGGAGGTGAACAGGAAGCTGGGCTTTGGGGGCTGTTGGTGGCCACATGTCCTAGTAAACACTCACTGGGCACCTCCTGGGCCAGGGCTGGCTCCAGCCGCCTTACATTTGTGAGTCTTGTGGTCTTCACAAAAGGCCTAGGTAGGTGCCATGTCACCCACCAGTGAGGATACTGAGGCTCTCAGAGCCCAGGCACCCAGCTACTAAGCAGCAGAGTCAGGATTTGAGCCTAGGTTCAAACACTAGGCTGGTCCTCTTGCTTCAGGACATGAGGAAAACAGGGCTCGGGACAAAGCCACACATGGTGGAGGCCAAGAAAACCACAATGGAGGGTGGCTGCAGCCTAGACAATGCTGCGGACTTGAGCCACACTGCAGCTGAAGCCTCCTATTACCAGACTTCTCTGTGAGGACACAGTTACACTTCCTTCATTGTTAGCACTCATGGGGAGGTGGTTTTCTGTCAGTTGTTAACAGATACCTTAGTGAATGCAAAGGCTCAGCTCAAAGTTCCCTCCTCCAGGAACATGTGCTCCTTCAAGGCTCTCCCTGACCCCTCCAGCCCTACCACCACTGGCTGCTCTGCAGGGCGGCCCCTGCCAGGCTCCCCGGCCCCTCCAGCCCCATCACCAGCTGCTCTGCAGGGCGGCCCCTGCCAGGCTCGCTCTGCACAGCTCTGGGCTGAGAGTATCTGTGTTCCCTGTGGGACGCAGCTCCAGCATTCTCTCCAAGTGGCCCTAATCTTTCCTGGACCTGCCGGCTGCTCTCCATCCAACTGCACCTAGCTGCACCTGGCCTGGTTGGAGGGACAAGGCGATGCCTACAGCCCTGTGCCCAGGGCCCCAGCAGCATACAGGGAGCCCAGGCTGCAAAAAGCCCAGAACTTCTTAGATATGCACATGCAGTGACTAGACCCCTATGCAGGCCCAGAGCCCACACTCCCTCCTCTTCCTTCTTCTAGTCTTCCAGGTTCAGCCCTCACCTCACCCAGGGCCAGTCACCTGAAGTCCCCACCACTAGCTTTCCCAGGACCACACCATGTTATAGTTTGTAGCAGATTGTCACGTCCACTGGCCCCTTGCAGTCCTGAAAGTGGACTGAGCAGACACCCACAGAGATGAAGTGACCTCCGTGGACTGCAACACACCTTTGCCAGCAGCCAGCACTGGGCTGTTTGTGATTTACTAATTGCGCGATAACTAAGTTAGCGACTGCTGCCTCTGCCACTCAGCCACCACTGCTACCAACACCATACGACAGTGACCACCACAGCCACCACTAATGTCATCAGCACTGCTGCTGGTGACTCGATGACTACTATCTCCACCATGGCTGCGATGACCCTCCCTGCCACTATCAGTGACACAAACACACCACCATCACCACTGCCACCGCCATCACCACTGTGGCTACCATCACCCTCCCTGCCACAATCAGTGACACGAAAACCTCACCATTACTACTGCCACCGCCATCACCACCATGGCTGCTGTCACCCTGCTATTGTCACCACTCTTCCTGTACTAGCCCTGTGTTTGTGGGACCAGTGGCAGCAGCAGGACCCTTCCCATGAAGGTACCTTTGGGAGGAATCTTCTCCCTGTGGGATTCAGGGTGTCTTCATTTTACATATTGAGACACTGAAGCCCAGAATGCTGAGGGGACATGACTCACCTCCAGGCCCTCAGGCTTAGGGCAGGGTCTACAGAAAGCTTGAAGGGGTCTTTACCCTTCCCAGGAGCATGTCAGGGATCAGGGTCACCACCTGGGCTTCCCGGGGCCAAGCAGAGGAAGCCTGAGTTCTCCAAGCCCTGAGCATGTAGTGGGTGATATGGATCACCTTCTGTTCACCTTCCCATCAGGAAAGCAATGTCACACCTCGGATAGACGAAGGAGGAGCCATCTTCTGTGCAGGGCCTCCGCCCTGCTGCCTTGGGGTGGCCCTGCCCTGGGACCCCATTGCCCCTGCACTCCAGGGATGGGGCTAAGCCACTTCTTCCTCCTATGAAGGGTAACAGAGCTGGCTTAGAAATGAGGGCTAGCGGCTGGGCACAGTGGCTCACGCCTGTGATCCCAGCACTCTGGGAGGCTGAGGTGGGTGGATTACCTGAGCTCACAGGTTCGAGACCAGCCTGAGCAAGAGTGAGACCCCATCTTTAAAAATAGCCAGCACTGTGGCAGGCACCTGTAGTCCCAGCTACTCGGGAGGCTAAGGCAAGAGAATCATTTGAGCTCAAGAGTCAGATGTTGCTATGAGCTATAACGCCATGGCACTCTACGCAGGGTGACAAAGTAAGACTCTGTCTCAAAAAAAAAAAAAAAGAAAGAAAGAAAGAAAGAAAAGAAATGAGGGCTAGGTTGTAGGACACGATTCCCAGGAGCTGGTTGAAAATACAGAACCCTCCAGGCCCACAGGGCCTCCCTGTCCCCAAATTGGGATCCAGAGGCTCTGGGGTGCAGCTAGAGAGACCTGGCATTCTGATGTTCAGTCCAACCTTCACCCCAGGACACATCAGACTCTGTGTAGAATGGGACCAGGAGGACGATGGGCTGCACCCAGGGTCCCCAGTGGTTCAGGGCACAAAGGCCCAGTTGCCAATCATCTCGCTTTGCTAATGGAGAAGCCATTGCCCAGAGAGAGAAGGGGGCTTGGTCAAGGTCTGCAACAGAAAATCGACCCCAGCTGGGAGGAGGACCAGAGCAGGTGAGACTGACACTGAGGCCACACAGACCTGCCAGACCCAGTTCCCATCCTAGGCACCCACCCCAGGAGCCCAGGAGGCCACTACCACAGGTCCCCTCACCCATATGCCCACGGCCACATTCAGGGCAAAATACGCGGTGATGATGATGATGTCAGCCACACTCAGCTGCGGCCCAGTAGAATGGAGGTTGCTAGTGGAGTTGTCGGCCATGTTCATCCTGTGGTGGTGCCAGCTCTGAGCAGAGGGACTGATAGACCAGGTTGGAAAGAGCTTCCTGGCAAGGAATTAATTGATCATTAAACCAAGTGAGATGGTGGCAGCTCCAGACCAGGCGTGGCCGTGTGGGGCAGCAACTCCCCTGTGCAGCTACTCTCCTCCCCCTCTGTGGAGAGCAGGCTTCAGAGTGCAGGGGGCCCCTAACCCCAGAGGCTCTGGAGAAACAAACGGAGTCAGGGCCTCCAGAGGGAACCTGAATAGACCCAGAAAGAAGGGGCTTGACTGCTGTCTGGTTAGTACAGGAAGCATCGACCATTGGGATGGATGCCTCACCTCTGGGGACCTGCAGGGTGGGCAGCCCTGTCCTCCGGTGGCCATTGGGCTGTGAGTGGATTGGGAGGGACTTGGGATGGTGCTGCATTGTGGTTTGCGTCCAGCCATGACAGCCCCCTCTCAGAAATGTCCCCATGTCAGACAATAAAGTCCC